GTGGGAAGCAGAAGCCCAAGAGGGACTGCTGCCCATCAGTGGGACCTGCAGGGTGTGGGGAAACCAGAGAGGCCTCTGGACCCAGTAGTCCACAAGAGCAGTGAGAAGCTGGAGCCTGAGAGCAACTGGTAGGATCCAGCTGCCTGCCCATGGGAACTGCAGGGTGCAGGGGCACAGAGAGGCCTGTGCGACCCAGCAGGGAGGGTGTGATCTAGTTACTCACAAGACCTGTGGGGTGCTGAAACACCAGAGAGGCCTGTCAATCAAGCAGGGACAGAGCAATCTAGTTACCTGCGGGACCTGTGGGGTGCTGAAGGACCAGAGAAGCCTGTGCCACCAGCAGCCCATAACATAGGCAGAGAGCCCGGTCCCCAAAGACACTGCGTGATCCAGTTACCCGTGGGACCTGTAGGGTGCAGGGGCACCATAGAGGTCTGTGCGATCCAGCTGCGCACAAGATAGGCATGGAGGATGTGAAAATGGAGGCGGAGTGAATAGAAGATGCACAGAGGATCTCCCAGGACCAAACAAGAATTACAACTAAAATAAAGAAATATCCTCGGAAAAAAGCAACAGAGAAGCAGGACGGGACCATATAATTAGGGACAATGGTAGGATCTGCAGAGGCATGTGAGGGTAATGGGCTGGGAGCCCACGAACAGCAGCAGTCGTAGCTGTGACTGTTTCATAGACCTTAGGGAATGAAAACCAAGCCCACTCCACAGCACAAAGAGCAGGACAGAGTACCAAAATAGCCACAGCCACTCACCTGGGGGCTACAAAAGAGGGAGGGCAGACGGGCCTGGACCTCTGTGGGGACACCTGGGATTTGGAGAGCACTCAGAGTTTTTCTGAGTTGCAGCCACAAATGATTGTGGCCAGTGTGCTCCTTTCCAGAGCTGTGAGGAAAAGCAGCAGCCCCTGTTCCCACCCCCCAAAAGATTCAGCCTTTCCCAGGTAAGGCAAAAAAATAAAAATTGAGGCATATTAGCAACCAGCATCTATCCCACACTCTGGAAATTCTCTTATGCAGAACACCAGGGATACATTCCAAGGCACTGAGTAACTGAGCCTACTAACCAACAGGAAAAAGTTAGAGGATAACTGAACCTTTCCAGGACTTGCAAATCAACCTAGAAAGTAAGACTTGACAGTGGTGTTTAACGTGGGTCCACCCAGGCCCATACAAACCCAGTACAGGGAGCCAGAAACAGCAGAACACCAACACCCACAGGGAAAATTTGGCAGGCTTCAAAACCCACTGAGATAGCCAAATGGTGAAACAAACAAACAAACAAACAAACAAACAAACAAACAACAAAAAAACAAATCCCAAATGAAAGAACAAGAGAACTCTATGGAAGATGAGATGAATGAAATGGAGCTAAGCAAATTATCAGAGGTAGAGATCAGAGCCATGATCTTGAGGAAGCTCAACAGCATGAGTAAGGTCAAAAGCACCATGAGTAAAGATATAAACATTGAAAATGCATCAAGTGGAAATGAAGAAGGACATAGCAGAAATAAAGGACACATTGGAAGGACTAACCAGCAGAATAGAGGAAGCTGAGGATGGGAACAGTGAATTAGAAGACAGGGTAGAAAAAATCAACCAATCAGAAAACCAAAAGGAAAAAACAGTTAAAAAACAGGAAGATACTTAAGAGAACTGTAGGACAACTGGAAATGTAATAACAATTGCATCATAGAAGTCCCCAAAGAGGAAGAGAATGGGCAAAGGTTAGAGAATATATTTGAAGAAATAGTGACAGAAAATTTTCTTAACTTGGGGAAGGAAGAAGGCATTCAAGTTCAAGAAGCACAGAGAGCCCTATGTAAGAAGAACCCAAACAGGCTCACACCAAGACACATAGTAACTAAAATGCCAAAAATTAAAGACAAAGAGAGAATGCTAAAGGCAGCAAGAGATAAGCAACAGGTTACCTACAAAGGAAACACCCAAAGGCTCTCAGCTGACTTCAGAACAGAAACACTACAAGCCAGAAGGGAGTGGCATGAAGTAATCAAGGTCATGAAAAGCAAAGATCCGAATGCCACACTATCCAGCAAGGCTATCATTCAAAATAAGTAAAATAAAGAGCTTCCCAGACAAACAAACAAACAAACAAACAAACAACCCCCCCCCAAAAAAAACGCTAAGGGAATATATTAACACCAAACCAGCTACAAGATATGCTAAAAGGACTGCTGTAATTAGTAGAAGAAATAGAAAGAAAAACAGAACCACACTAAACAAAAATGGCAATAAATAAGTATATATCAATTATCACTTTAAATGTGAATGGATTGAATGCTCTGATAAAAAGATACAGAGTAGTTGACTGGATAAGAAAGCATGAATCACATATATGTTGTTTACAAGAGACCAACCTCAAAAAAAAAAGCTCACATAAGTTGAATGTGAGGGAATGAAAAAAAAATTCAAACAAATGGAAAGAAAAAAGAGCTGGGGTAACAATACTCATATCTGATAGATTTCAAAATGAAGGCTATAACTAGGGACAAAGAAGGCCACTACATAATAATGAAAGAATCTATCCAACAGGAAGATATAACCTTGGTAAACATATATGCACCCAATATAGAAGCACCAAAATATATTAAAAATATTTTGGAGGACTCCAAGGAAGAAATTAATAGCAATACAATCATAGCAGGGGACTGCAATACCCTGCTGACATCACTGGATAGATCTTCTAGACAAAAAGTTAACAAGGAAACACAGACTCTAAATGAAGTGTTAGATCAAAAGGATTTCATAGATATCTGCAGAGAATTACATCCCCAAACTGCAGAATTCACATTCTTCTCAAGTGCACATGGGACATTCTCAAAGATAGACCACATGTTCGGACACAAACTAAGTCTCTACAAGTTCAAGAAGACCGAAATCATATCAAGCATCTTCTCAGATCTCAGTGGCATGAAACTAGAAATCAGTTGCAACAAGAACATGCAAACAGAAACACATGGAAGCTAAAGAGCATGTTATTAAACAACAAAAGGGTTACCAAGGAGATCAAGGAAGAAATTAAAAACTTCCTGGAAACCAATGAAAATGAACACACAACAAAACAAAATTTATGGTATGCAGTGAAAGCAGTTCTGAGAGGGAAGTACATAGCACTACAGGCCTATCTTAAGAAACAAGAAATATTTCTAATAGACTATTGAACCTAACAACTTAAAGAACTAGAAAGCAAACAAAAATAAAACCCTAGAGAAAGTACAAGGAGGGAAATGGTAAAGACCAGAGCAGAAATCAATGACATAGAGTCCAAAACAAAAACAAAAACAAAAACAATTCAAAGGATCAATGAAACAAAGAACTGGTTTTTCGAAAAGATAAACAAGATTGATGGACCCTTAGCTAGACTCACCAAGAAACAAAGAGAGAGAAGCCAAATACACAAAATCAGAAATGAAAGAGAAGTAACAACTGACACCACAGAAATACAAAAGATCATTAACAACTACTATGAACAATTATATGGCAACAAATTTGACAATCTAAGCGAAATGGACAAATTTCTAGAAACACATAGTCTCTCAAAACTGGACCGGGAAGAGATAGAAAACTTGAACAAACCAATAACAACTTCGAAAATTGAAGATGCTATCAAGACTCTTCCATCAAAAAAAGCCCAATCTTGGATGGCTTCACAGGGGAGTTTTACCGAACATTCAAAAAAGAACTAATACCCATTCTCTGAGGAAATTCAATTCTTTGAAGAAATTCAAGAAGGAGGAAGACTTCCAAACTCTTTTTATGAGTCCAGCATAATTCTAATTCCAAAACCAGAAAAAGAGATTACAAAGAAAGAAAACTGCAGGCCAATATCTCTGATGAACATAGATGCCGAAATCCTGAACAAAAAACTAGCAAATCGGATCCAGCAATATGCCAAAAAAATTATCCACCATGACCAAGTGGGATTCATCCCAGGGATGCAAGTCTGATACAATATTTGCAAATCAATAAATGTGATACACCACATAAATAAAATGAAGAATAAAAACCACATGATATTATCAATAGATGCCAGAAAAGCTTTAGATAAGGGGTTAATTTCCAATACATATAGAGTACTCATACAACTCCACAAAAGGAAGACAAAGAATCCAATTAAATAATGGGCAGAGGAACTAAATAGACACCTCTCCAAACAGGACATACAGATGGCTAAGAGACATATAAAGAAATGCTCAACATCACTAATCAACAGAGAGATGCAAATGAAAACAACAATGAGGTATCACCTCACACCTGTCAGAATGGCCACCATCAACAAATCATCAAACGACAAGTGTTGGCAAGGGTGTGGAGAAAAGGGGACTCTAGTGCACTGCTGGTGGGAATGCAGACTGGTGCAGCCACTATGGAAAACAATATGGTGTTACCTCAAAAAATTAAAAATTGAACTACCAGTGATCCCACTTCTAGGAATATACCCTAATAATCCTGGAACACCAATCAGAAAGAATATATGTACCTCCACATTTGTAGCAGCACTATTTACAATAGCTAAGAACTGGAAACAGCCCAAGTGTCCATCAGTAGACGAATGGATAAAAAAATTGTGGTTCATATTCACAGTGGAGTACTATGCAGCTGTAAGAAAGAAAGATCTTTTATCTTTGAGACTACATGGAGGGATCTGGTAAGTGTCGTCCTAAGCAAAACAAGCCGAACAGGACAAATATCATATGATCTCACTTATTTGTGGAATATAATGAACATAACACTCTGAGGAATGGGGTAGTCCTAGAGATGTGGAATGGGGTACAGACTGACTATCCCTAGAAGAGGAGGTGTTGGGGGAGAGATAAACCACAATACTTACATGCATGAACAATGGACATGGACAACAAAGTTAGGGACAGAATGAGGAGGGAGAAGGAGGTGGGCATCAGTGAGGGAAAAAGGACTAACATCTGTAACAAAAGTATATTAATTTTTTAAAAAGTTTGTTACTCACCTTCTTGCCTTTCATGAATATGTTGTACATATTAAACAGAATTTTTTGCAAAACACAGTTTTTCAATCTCCAGGATGTGGTCTCCAGACAAAAAAGCAAGAGGAGATAAAATAAGCCCAGGGCAGCCAATGTAAGTAAATACTTTGCAATCCCATGCTTTTCAAAACTATAGATACTCTTCTCAATAACTGAGGATAATAAAAGAGATAGCCTTACTTTAGAATTGATTCAAAGACTTAGGTGACACTAAATGTTAAGAAATATAGAATCAAAATGCATTTTAAGTTAGATTTATAGAAGTAGGGAACATAAATAGTAATTGTCTTAATATTTTATTTGTCTCTCTTATTTTATCTTCCCTGATATTTATAGTTATTATGAAAGTTCTCCTGCCAATAATTTTTCTCTACTTTTTACCAATTTTGATAGGAGACCACCTTACTACATAGTCAATAAATTTCAAAAGCTGAGCATTTATGAGCAGAATGTTTGGTAATTAAATAAAGCAAACAAAATAAAGGTATTTATGGTATATCTAACCATTATTATAGGCCACATAAAATGTCCTTAATGTTCTTGTTTAAATACTTGTGTTAAATTTTTGGGGTATATACTCAGGAATGGAGTTGCTAGGTTGTATGGTAATTCTCTGTTTAGCTTTATGAGGAACCACCAAACTTTTCCACAGCAGGTGCAACATTTTATATTCCTACCAGTAAAATAGGAGGGAGGGTACATTTTTTTTCATATCCTCACTAAGCCTTTAATACTTTCTGTTTTTTTCTCATAGCCATCTAAGTGTGTGTGAAATGATATCTCATTTTGACTTTTTTTTAGTGAATATATTTGACACTAATTTGACATTCACACAAATATAGTGAATATATTTGACATGTAACATTGTGTAAGTTTAAGATATAAGCATTTTACTTTTTGTTGTTGTTAATCCTCAGCTAAGGATATTTTTTTCCACTATTAGAGAGTAGAGAGAGGGAGGGATAAAAGGAAGGAGGGAGAGAGAGAGAGAGAGAGAGAGAGAGAGGGAGAGAGAAACATTGACATGAGAGAGTGAGAGAGACACATTGATTGGTTGCCTCCTGTGTGAGCCTTGACTGGGGCAGGTTATCAAACCTGCAACCCAGGTACATGCTTTTGACTGAGAATCAAACCCGTGACACTTTAGTGCATGGGCCAATGCTTTAACCACTGAGCAACTCTGGCTAGGGCAAGTGTGTTACTTTGATACATTTATATATTGCAATGATTGCTGATATAGCAATATATATCACATTGCATCATTACAGTACAGTGTTATTATCCACATTTGTTATGCATTCATGCATCACTTCATGACAAGGATGTATATATATGTTCTGAGCAATGTGTCATTAGGCAATTTTTTCATTGTGTGAACAATCTAGATGGTATAGCCTACTACACACTCAGGCTGTATGGTATAGCTTATTGCTCCTAGGATACAAACTTGTACAGCATATTACTGTATGAATACTGCAGGCAATTATAACATTATGTTAGACCTCTATAGAGCCCTTGTATTAAATGGAGTTGGAGGACTAGATGTTGTTTTGGGTGATTCAGTGAGTGAGCAATGAGTAGATGTAAAAGTCTAGCATATTACTGTATACTACTTTAGACTTTATTAAGTACATGTTAAACTATGCTAAACTTATAAAAAGTATTTTCTTCACCTAATAATCAATTAAGCTTAGTTTACTATAATTTTTAATTTAACATTTAAAATCTTGAAACTCTGATTCTTTTGTAATAACATAGCTGAATCAAACACATTGTATAGCTGTACAGAAATATTTTCTTTGTTTATATCCTTATACTATAAGTATTTTTTCTATTAAAAAAATTTTAGTTTATTTAAAAAATATTTTTGTTAAAACCTAAGACATTATTGATGTTTCTCTCTCTCTCGTTCTCCCTTCCCTTTTCTCTAAAAATCAATGAAAATGTACTTAGGTGCGGATTAAAAAACAAAACAAAACTACCAAGACACAAATACAAACATCAGTCTATACCCCCAGAGGGTCAGCATCAACAATATCCCTTTCATGTTCACATTTTGTTCTGCTTGAAGGTCTTCAGGGGCACTAACACAAATGGAGCAGTCATATCCTGTGATAACAATGCCTTCTTCTGGAATAAATTCTTGAGGGCTCTTCTTTTCCTTCTGTTAGTTTCCTTTTGTCTTGCCTCTTCTTTTTGAAATTTTTAAAATTTATATTTAGCCCTGCTGGTGTTGCCCAGTGAAATGGATACCCTTCCACAGACTGAGAGGTACTGGTTTGATTCCCAGTCAGGGCACATGCCAGGGTTGTGGGCTTGATCTCCAATAGGGGGCGTGCAGGAGGCAGCCAATCGATGTACCTTTTTCATGTAGATGTTTCCATCTCTCTATCCCTTCCTCTCTCTCTAAAAAAAAAAAAGTCAATAAAACATATTTAAAATTTTTTAATTTAAAATTTATATTGTTGATACTATTGCAGATGTCCCCCATTCTCTTCCCCCTTTGCTCACCTTCACCCAGCCTCCCTTACCTTGGCCATCACTACACTATAGTCTGTGTCAATGGGCCATGCATTTGTGTTCTTTAGCTAATTCCTTTACCTTCCTTTCTCCAGTTTCCCCCATCCCTTCCTCTCTGACATTTGTAAATCTGTTGCATATATCCATACTTCTGGTTCTATTTTGTTCTTAAGTTTATTTTGTTCATTAGATTCCACATATAAGTGAGGTCATATTGTATTTGTCTTTCACTGAATGGCTTATTTCACTTAGCATAATATTCTTGGGTCCATCTATGCTGTGGCAAAGGATAAGAGTTACTTCTTTTATAAAGCTGCACAGTATTCCATTGTGTGAATGTACCACAGCTCTTAACCACTTATTTGCTGATGGACCCTTGAACTGTTTTTAGATCTTGACTATTGTAAATCATGCTGCTGTGAACATAGACGTGCATATATTCTTTGTGACTGGTATTTGTGATTCTTAGGATATATTACCAGGAGTGAGATTACTGGATCAAAAGGCATTTCCAGTTATAAATTTTGAGGAGACTCCATACTATTTTCCCCAGTGGCTGCACCATTTTGAATTCCCACCAACAGTGTTTGAGGGTTCCCTTTTCTCCACTTACTAGCCAGCCCTTGCTCTTTACTGATTTATTAGTGGTAGCCATTCTGGCAGGTGTGTGGTGATACCTCATTGTAGTTTTAATTTGTATTATATGTCTATTGCCCATCTGTATGTCTTTTTTAGAGAAGTGTCTATTCAGGCCCTTTGTGCACTTGTTAATTAGATCGTTTGTATTTTTGGTGTTGAGTTGCATAAGTACTTTATAAATTAACCCCTTATCAGATGTTTTATTGGCAAATACGTTCTCTCACACAGTGAGATTCCTTTTCATTTAGTTGATTATTATTATTTTTTTTGCTGTGCAGAAGCTCTTTGGTTTGATGTCTCATTTGTTTACTTTTTCTTCTGTTTCCCTCCCTCAAGAAGATATATTGGTATAAATATTGCTATGAGAGATGCCTGCAATTTTATTGACTATGTTTTCTTCTAGGGTTTTTATGGCTTCATGATTACATTTAAGTCTTTTATCCACTTTGAGTTTATACTTATGCGTGGTGCAAGTTGGTGGTCTAGTTTCATTTTTTGCATGTACCTGTCCAATTTTCCCAACACCATTTATTGAAGTGACAGTTTTCTTCTCCATTGTTTGCTCTTGTCTCCTTTGTCAAATATTAATGGACCATAAGGCATGAGTTGATGTCTTGGCCCTCTGTTCTGTTCCATTGTTCTATAAGCTTGTTCTTGTGCCAGTACCAGGCTATTTTGAATACGGTGGCTTTGTAGTATAGTTTGATATCTGGTATTGTGGTCCCTCCAACTTTGTTCTTCTTTCTCAAGATTGCTGAGGTGATTCAGGGCCTTTTTTGGTTCCATATAAATTTTTGGAATATTTGTTTTATATTTGTGAAATATGCCATTGGTAGTTTAATAGGAATTAAATTGAATCTATAAATTGTTTTTGGTAGTATTGACATTTTACTGATGTTAATTCTTCCAATCCATGACATGGCACAAGCTTCCACTTGTTTGTATCTTTTTCTGTTTCTTTCTTCAGTGTCCTGTAGTTCTTTGAGTACAGGTCTTGTACCTCTTTTATTAAGATATTCCTAGGTATCTTTTTTTTTTTTATGAATTTTTATTTATTTTTTTGTTACAGATATTTTACCTTTTTACCCCATTGGCACCCCCACCCCACCCCCCCTCCACCCTGTCCCCAGCTTAGTTGTCCATGTCCATTGGTCATGCATACATGCATATAAGTTCTGTGGTTTATCTCTTCCCACCCCGCCACCCCCCATCCCCTCTTCTGAGGGATGTCAGTCTGTGCCCTACTTCCATGTGTCTGGGTCTACTGTATTCCTCAGACTGTTATGTTCATTATATTCCGTATATAAGTGAGATCATGTGGTATTTGTTGTTTTCTGCTTGGCTTCTTTCACTTAGGATAATACTTTCCAGGTCCCTCCATGTCGTCTCAAAGGATAAGAGATCTTTCTTTCTTACCGCTGCATAGTACTCCATTGTGTATATGTACCACAGCTTTTTGATCCATTCGTCTACTGGTGGACACTTGGGCTGTTTCCAGATCTTAGCTATTGTAAATAGTGCTGCTATGAACATGGGGGTACATATATTCTTCCTGATTGGTGTTTCAGGCTTCTTAGGGTATATTCCCAGCAGTGGGATCACTGGGTCAAATGGAAGTTCAATTTTTAATTTTTTGAGGTAGCACCATATTGTTTTCCATAGCGGCTGCACCAGTCTACATTCCCACCAGCAGTGTATTAGAGTCCCCTTTTCTCCACACCCATGCCAACACTTGTTGTTTGATGGCGGCCATTCTGACAGGTGTGAGGTGATACCTCATTGTTGTTTTAATTTGCATCTCTCTGATGATTAGTGATGTTGAGCATTTCTTCATATGTCTCTTGGCCATTTGTATGTCCTGTTTGGAGAGGTGTCTATTCAGCTCCTCTGCCCATTTTTTAATTGGGTTCTTTGTCTTCCTTTTGTTGAGTTGTAGGAGCACTCTCTATATATTGGAAATTAACCCCTTATCTGATACATCATTGGCAATGATGTTCTCCCATACAGTGGGTTGCCTTTCCATTTTGATGATTGTTTTTTTTGTGTGCAGAAGCTTTTTAGTTTGATGTAGTCCCATGTGTTCATTTTCTCCTTTATTTCTGTTGCCTTAGGTGATGTATCAGTGAAAATTCTGCTCCGTGTGATGTCCAAAATTTTGTTGCCTGCATTTTCTGCTAGAATTTTTATGGATTCACGGGTCACATTTAAGTCTTTTATCCATTTTGAGTTTATTCTTGTGTATGGTGTAAGTTGATGGTCTAGTTTCATTTTTTTGCATGTAGCTGTCCAATTTTCCCAACACCATTTATTAAAGAGGCTGTCTTTACTCCACTGTATGCTCTTGCCACCTTTGTCAAATATTAATTGAGCGTATTGCCTTGGGTCCATTTCTGGGTTTTCAGTTCTGTTCCACTGGTCTATATGCCTGTTCTTGTGCCAGTACCAGGCTGTTTTGGTTACAGTTGCTTTGTAGTATAACCTGATATCTGGTATTGTGATCCCACCTACTTTGTTCTTCTTTTTCAAGATTGCTGTGGCTATTCGGGGTCTTTTTTGGTTCCATATGAACTTTTGAAGTATTTGTTCTAGTTCTATGAAATATGTCGTTGGTATTTTGATGGGGATTGCATTGAATCTATAGATTGCTTTGGGTAGTATGGACATTTTAATTATGTTAATTCTTCCAATCCATGAACAGGGTATGTGCTTCCAGTTTTTTATATCTTCCTCTATTTCTTTTTTCAATGACCTGTAGTTTTCTGCAAATAGGTCCTTTACTTCTTAGGTTAAGTTTATTCCTAGGTATCGTAATTTTTTTGGCGTGATGGTAAATGGGATTGTTTTTTCAGTTTCTCTTTCTGTGAGTTCATCATTAATGTACAAGAATGCCGTCGATTTCTTGACGTTAATTTGGTATCCAGCTACTTTGCCAAATTCATTTATTAAGTCTAATAGATTTTTGATGGAGTCTTTAGGGTTTTCTATGTACAATATCATGTCATCTGCAAATAATGACAGTTTCACTTCCTCCTTTCCAATTTGGATCCCTTTTATTTTTTCTTCATGTCTGATTGCTGTGGCTAAGACTTCCAGTACAATGTTAAATAAGAGTGGCGAAAGTGGACATCCCTGTCTTGTTCCTGTTCTTAATGGAAATGTTTTTAGTTTCTGTCCATTGAGTATGATGTTGGCTGTAGGTCTTTCATATATGGCCTTTATTATGTCGAGATATGATCCCTCTATTCCTACATTGCTGAGCGTTTTTATCAGAAATGGATGCTGGATTTTGTCGAATGCTTTTTCAGCATCTATTGATATGATCATGTGGTTTTTATTCTTCATTTTGTTTATTTGGTGTATCACGTTTATTGATTTGCGAATATTGTACCAGCCATGCATCCCTGGAATGAATCCCACTTGGTCATGGTGAATAATTTTTTTGATGTATTGCTGGATCCGATTTGCTAATATTTTGTTCAGGATTTTGGCGTCTATGTTCATCAGGGATATTGGCCTGTAGTTTTCTTTCTTCGAAGTGTCTTTTTCTGGTTTTGGAATTAGAATTATGCTGGCCTCATAGAACGTTTGGAAGTCTTCCTTCTTCTTGAATTTTTTGAAATAGTTTGAGGAGAATGGGTGTTAGTTCTTTTTTGAATGTTCGGTAAAACTCCCCCATGAAACCATCTGGGCCTGGGCTTTTGTTTGCTGGGAGAGTCTTGATTACATCTTCAATTTCCTTAGTTGTTATTGGTCTGTTCAAGTCTTCTATCTCTTCTGGGAGTAGTTTTGGGAGACTGTGTGTTTCTAGAAATTTGTCCATTTCGCTTAGATTGTAGAATTTGTTGTCATATAGTTGTTCGTAGTAGTTGTTAACGATCTTTTGTATTTCCGTGGTGTTGGTTGTTACTTCTCTTTCATTTCTGATTTTGTGTATTTGGGTTCTCTCTCTTTGTTTCTTGGTGAGTCTAGCTAAGGGTCCATCAATCTTGTTTATCTTTTCGAAAAACCAGTTCTTTGTTTCATTGATCCTTTGAATTGTTTTTTTGGTCTCTATGTCATTTATTTCTGCTCTGATCTTTACTATTTCCTTCCTTCTACTTGCTCTGGGGTTTTCTTTTTGTTTGCTTTCTAATTCTTTAAGTTGTGAGGTTAGACAGTCAATTAGAAATTTTTCTTGTTTTTAGAGGTAGGCCTGTAGTGCTATGAACTTCCCTCTCAGAACTGCTTTCGCTGCATCCCATAGATTTTGTGTTGTTGTGTGTTCATTTTCATTGGTTTCCAGGAAGTTTTTAATTTCTTCCTTGATCTCCTCGGTGACCCATTCATTGTTTAATAACATGCTATTTAGCCTCCATGTGTTGAAATGTCTTTGCATGTTCTTGTTGCAATTGATTTCTAGTTTCATGCCATTGTGATCTGAGAAGATGCTTGACATGATTTCAATCTTCTTGAACTTGTAGAGATTTAGTCTGTGTCCTATCATGTGGTCTGTCTTTGAGAATGTCCCATGTGCACTTGAGAAGAATGTGTATTCTGTAGTTTTGGGGTGTAATTCTCTGTAGATATCTATTAAATCCATTTGGTCTAGTGCTTCATTTAGAGTCTCTGTTTCCTTGCTAATTTTTTGCCTAGAGTATCTATCCAGTGCTGTCAACGGGGTGTTGAAGTCCCCTGCTATGATTGTATTGTTGTCGACTTCTCCTTGGAAGTCCTCCTTTTGTTTTTCTGATTGGTTGATTTTCTCTACCCTGTCTTCTAATTCACTGATCCGGTCCTCAGCTTCCCGTACTCTGCTTTTTAAACCTTCCAATGTGTTTTTCATTTCGGATATGTCATTTTTTATCTCTTCTTGTTGGTTTTTAATTTCCAATTGGCTTATTTTCAGTGTCTCTATGTCCTTACTCATGCTGTTCAGCTTCCTCAAGATCATGGCTCTGAATTCTAGCTCTGTTAACATGCCTAATTGCTCCACATTGATCTCATCTTCGGTGGAGGTCCCTTGCTCTTTCATTTGGCTTCTGTTTCTGTGTTTCACCATTTTGGCTATCACTGTGGGCTTTGGAGCCTATCAAGTTCTCCCTGTGGGTGTTGGTGTTCTGCTGTTTGTGGCTCCCTCTCCTGTGTTTAGATGAGTGAGGGAGGACCCACGTTGAACACCACTGTCAAGTCTTACTTTCCTGATTAAAGTTGCCAGCCCAGGAAATGTACTGTTATCCTCTAGCTTTTTGCCTGGGGGCTAGCAGTCTAGGTTAATTGATGAGTTTTGGGTTGTCAGTTGATTGAAAAACTCCCTCTGGTGCTCAGCCAAGGGGCTTTCAAGAGGGTGGGGCAGATGCTGGTCATTAGTGAGCCTCAATTAACACTTCAATGGCCCACAGGGTGGGGTTGGATCTCCCAGTGAGGGGCTGCTGCCTCTCCTCAGAGCCCTGGGAAGGAGCAATGTGGCCACCATCCTGAATGGCTGCACTCAGCCAAAGCTCTGAGCGCCCTCCAAACCCCGAGTGTCCCCACACAGTTGCAGTCCAGCCTGCCCCCCTCTGCCGGAGCCCAAGGTGAGTGGCTGTGGCTGTTTCAGCCTCTGTCCCGGCTGCACTGTGGAGCCGCCTGGGAGTGTAACCCGAGGGCGCTGCTCCCAGCTAAGGCCGCTGCCGAGCTGCCTACGGTGGGCTCCCAGCCCCCGTCTCGCGCCTTCGCAAGCCTACCGGGATGGAGTCAGTGTCCCTCGTTGTATGGTCCTCGCAAGCTGCTTTTCTGTTGGTTTTTCCCGTCGATTTGTCTGTGTTATAGTTGTAATTCCAGTTTGGTTGTGGGAGACGGTCTGTGTAGCTCCATTCACTCCGCCGCCATTTCAATAGCGGATCCTAGGTATCTTAAGTTATTTATTTTTGGTGCAATAGTAAATTGGATTGTTTTCTTTTTTTAAATTTTATTAATTTTTATTAATTTATTTTTGTTGCAGATATTTCTCCTCCCTCCCACCATTGACTCCCTCCTCCCTATCCCCTCTCACCCCATCCTCAGCTTTGCTGTCTATGTCCATTGGTTATACATACATGCATATAAGTTCTGTGGTTTATTCTTTCCCACCCCTCCCCTCCCCTCTTCTGAGAAATGTCAGTCTGTACCCTACACTTCTATGACTCTGGTTCTATTTTGTTCATCAGTTTGTTTAGTTCATTATATTCCAGAAATAAGTGAGATCATGTGATATTTGTCTTTCACTACTGGGCTTGTTTAGCTTAGCATAATACTCCCCAGGTCCCTCTAGTAGTCTCAAAGGAGAAGAGATCTTTCTTACATAGTACTCCATTGTGTATACGTACCACAGCTTTTTTTATCCACTCATCTACTGATGGATACTTGGGTTGTTTCCAGATTTTAGCTATTGTAAATAGTGCTGCTATGAACACAAGTTTACATATATTCTTTCTGATTGGTGTTTCAGGCTTCTTAGGGTGTATTCCTAGAAGTAGGATCGCTGGGTCAAATGGCAGTTCAATTTTTAATTTTTTGAGGTAACACCATATTGTTTTCCATAGTGGCTGCACAAGTCTGCATTCCCACCAGTAGAGTACTAGAGTTCCCTTTACTCCATACCCTCGCCAGCACTTGTTGTTTGATGATTTGTTGATTGGACTATTTTCTTATCTTCTCTTTCTGATAGTTGATTATTGGTGTATAAAAATGCCACTGATTTTCGAGTATTTATTTTGTAACCTGCTACTTTTCTGAATTCATTTATTAGAGCTGATAGTTTTTTGGGGGGATCACTAAAGGTTGTCTATGAAGAATATCATGTCATTTGTGAATAATTACTGTTTTACCTACTCCTTTCCATTTGGATGTCTTTCATTGATTTCCTCTTGTCTGACTGCTGTGGCTATGACTTCCAGCATTATGTTGAATAAGAGTGGTGAAATTGGACACTATTTTCTTGTTCCTGATCATAGAGGAGATACTTTTAGTTTTAGCTCTGGAGTATGCCACTGGCTATAGGTTTTTTTTTTATATATGGCCTTTATTATATTGAGGTGAGGTATGATCATTTCCACTTTGCTGAGAGGTTTTTATCATAAATGGGTGCTGGAGTTTATTGAACGCCTTTTTGACATCTATTGATATGTTTATGTGCTTTTTATTCTTCATTTTGTTTATGTGATGTATCACATTGGATGATTTGCAAATATTGTACAAAGCTTGCATCCCCAGAATAAATCCCTCTTGGTCATGGTATATGAACTTCTTAATGTATTGCTGGATTTGATTGGCTAATATTTTTAGCATCTATATTCATAAGTGATATTGGTCTATAATTTTATTTCTTTGTGGGTGCTTATCTGGTTTTGGAATTAGGATAATGCTGGCTTCAACAAAAACGGTTGGAAGTGTACTCTTCTCTTGAATTCTCTGGAATAGTTTGAGAACATGCATTAATGCTTCTTTCAATGTTTGATACAATTCACCTGTGAAGCCATCTGATCCAGGTCATTTGTTGGCTGGGTGTTTACTCATTACTACTTCATTTTCATTAGTTTTCATTGTATGTTTCTAGAAATTTGTATATTTTTCCTAGGTTGTCCAATTTGTTGGCATATAGCTGTTTATAGTATTTTCGTACAATCCTCTGTATTTCTGTGATGTCAGTTGTTACTTCTCTTTTATTTATAATTTTATTTATTAGGGTCTTCATTTTCTTTTTTTTAATTAATTATTTATTTTTGTTACAGATGTTTCTCCATTTTCCCCAACTGATTTCCCTCTCTCCCTCCCTCCCTGCCCTGTCCCGAGATTTGTTGTCCATGTCCATTTTTCATGCATACACGCATATAAGTTCTGTAGTTTATCTCTTCCCCACAACCTCCTCTTCTGGGGATTGTTAGAATATAACCCACTTCCATGTCTCTGGGACTACCCCATTCCTCAGACTGTTATGTTCATTATATTCCACAAATAAGTGAGATCATGTGATACTTGTCGTTCTCTGTTTGGTTTGTTTCTCATAGGATAATACTTTCCAGGTCCCTCCATGTAGTCTCAAAGGACAAAAGATCTTTCTTTCTTACAGCTGTATAGTACTCCAATGTGTATATGTGCCACAGCTTTTTTATCCATTCGTCTACTGATGGACACTTGGGCTGTTTCCAGATCTTAGCTATTGTAAATAGTGCTGCTACAAACATGGGGGTACATATATTCTTTCTGATTGATGTTTCAGGCTGCTTAGGGTATATTCCTAGAAGTGGGATCACTGGGTCAAATGGTAGTTCAATTTTTAATTTTTTGAAGTAACACCATATTGTTTTCCATAGTGGCTACACCAGTCTGCATTCCCACCAGTAGAGTACTAGAGTCCCCTTTTCTTCACACCCTCGCCAACACTTGTTGTTTGATGATTTGTTGATGGCGGCCATTCTGACAGGTGTGAGGTGATACCACATTGTTGTTTAAATTTGCATCTCTCTGATGATTAGTGATGTTGAGCATTTCTTCATATGTCTCAGCCATCTGTATGTCCTGTTTGGAGAGGTGTTTATTTAGTTTCTCTAAACTAAATTTTGTTGAGTTTTATGAGCACTCTCTATATATTGGAAATTAACCCCTTATCTGAGATATCATTGGCAATTATGCTCTCCCATACATTGGCTAGCCTTTCTGTTTTGATGATTGTATCTTTCGCTGTGCAGAAGCTTTTGAGTTTGATATAGTCCCTTGTGTTCATTTTCTCCTTTGATTCTATTGCCTTAGGTGATGTATCAGTGAAAATTCTGCTGCGTATGATGTCTAAAATTTTGTTGCCTACAGTTTCTTCTAGGATTTTTATGGATTCATGAGTCACATTTAAGTGTTTTATACATTTTGTGTTTATTCTTGTGTATGGTGTAAGTTGATGGTCTAGTTTCATTCTTTTTGAATGTAGCTGTCCTATTTTCCCAACACCATTCATTAAAGAGGCTGTCCTTACTCCACTGTATGCTCTTGCCACCTTTGTCAAATATTAATTGAGCATATTGCCTTGGGACCATTTCTGGGTTCTCTGTTCTGTTCCACTGGTCTATATGCCTGTTCTTGTGCTAGTACCAGGTTGTTTTGATTACAGTGGCTTTGTAGGATAACCTGAAATCTGGTAATGTGATCCCTCCTACATTGTTCTTCTTTTTCAAGATTGCTGTGGCTACTTGAGGTGTTTCTTAATGCATATGAACTTTTGAAGTATTTGTTCTAATTCTGTGAAATATGCCGTTGATATTTTGATGGGGACTGCATTAAGTCTATAGATTGCTTTGGGTAGTATGGACATTTTAATGATGTTAATTCTTCCAATCCATGAACAGGGTATGTGCTTCCAGTTTTTTATATCTTCCTCTATTTCTTTTTCAATGACTTGTAGTTTTCTGCGAATAGGTCCTTTATTTCTTTGGTTAAGTTTATTCCTACATGTCTTAAATTTTTTGCCGCAATGGTAAATGGGATTGTTTTTTAGTTTCTCTTTCAGTGAGTTCATCATTTGTGTATAAGAATGTCATTGATTTCTTGATATTAATTTTGTATCCTGCTACTTTTACAAATTCATTTATTAATTCTAGTACATTTTTGATGGAGTCTTTGGTTTTTTCTACGTATAGTATCATGTCACCTGCGAATAATGACAGCTTCACTTCCTACTTTCCAATTTGGATCTCTTTTATTTTTTCTTCCTGTCTGATTGCTGTGGCTAAGACTTCCAGTTCTATGTTAAATAAGAGTGGTGAAAGTGGGCATTGTTGCCTTGTTCCTGTTCTTAAGGGAAATGCTTTTAGTTTTTGCCCGTTGAGTATGATGTTGGCTGTAGGTCTTTCATATATAGCCTTTATTATGTCTAGATATGATTCCACTATTCCCACATTGCTG